GGTCCGCCAAGGACTTGCCTACATGCATGCTGCCAATAGTAAGAGGGATAGTAAAACTCCCTAGATCCTTGCACTTTTCGGGCAGCTTGTTTTGCAGGATAGCAGAACACTCCTCGCTCAGCAACACTGTCGAGAGATCCCCAAGTTTCTTCTTGTTGGTGAGGAGATCTTTCATGAACTTTGCGTACTTGGGCATCTTCGACAATGCCTCCACAAACGGTATGCTGATGTTGAGCTGCTTCAACATTGCCATAAAATTGGCAAACTCAGTCTCCAACTTGTCTTTGGGTAGACGAGTGGGGAAGGGAAGCTGGGGTACATGCTCCTTAACCACTGGTTGTGGCTTGGGAGCAGGGGCTTCCTTCTCCACACGCACTTCTGCATCGTCGGCTGGAAGTGCTGAAGCAGGTAGTGGTTCCTCCTGTCTGGCCGGGACAGGATCAGCAGATATGGTCTTACCGCTCCTGGTAAAAATGGCATCCAGCTGCCAGAGCTGGTTAGGATCACGAGGATTCGGAACAGTGGTGGCAGGCAAAGTCCCCGGTGCCCTGGTGGTGTTCTGGCGGGCCAAGATACCCACCTGGTTCTGCAGATCTTGCAAGATGGCACCTGGTTCCTCTGACTTGCCTCCAGTGACGTGATAGCTGCCTGAGTGCAAGTCATGAACGAAGCTAGAATATTTTCCAGCTTCGTCATCTGGTCATCTGGGGCAGGGGCTGCTGCTGGCTCGACAAACTGACGCTGGGGCTGTTGGAATGGTTGCCCCTGTCTAGGCTGGTAGGGCTGCTGCTGTGGGGCTGGCCCCTGTCGAGCCTGGAAGGGCTGCCTCTGCTGAAAACCACCTGCTGGTGCTGGGAAACCAGGTGGTTTAGTGGTGTTGCTGTTCCAGGCGAAGTTGGGATGCTGGCGCCACCCCTCATTATATGTGTTGCTGTACGGGTCGAGGCGCCGAGCATTGGCTATGAAGTCCAACTACTCTTGGGGAGTGGTAGACTCCCTCATAGCCTGGCAGTCCTCCACTAGGTGATTGAAGCTCTCGCACCACTGACATTGAGCTACTGGAGGTGTAGCCAAACCTCTGCCCGGAATCAGACTGTTGGGCTGCTTCAATGTCTGCACTAACTCAGCTACCTGCTGCTCAAGCCCGGATCTGGTCTCCACGACGTGCACACCACGGTCCCGGGAATGTCTGCCTTGGCTGCTCTGCCCCCAGGAATGATCTCTGGCAGCCAAAGTATTGATCATCTGGTTCAGCTCGGGTGGAGTCTTAGTGAGAACATCCCCTCCTGGGCATAGAGACTCAATCACCCTCTGGCTGTTTGGAGAGAGAGAACTGTAGAAGTTCCCCACTGTGAATGCATCACTGAAGCCATGATGGGGACACTGCCAGAAATATCCCATGTACCGCTCCCAAGCATCACGAAGTGACTCATCTGGCTCTTGGCGGAAGTGAGTGATCTCCCGCTGGATCTCTGTAGTCTTCGATGCCGGATAGTTCTTGTGCACGAATTTGTCAGCCAGATCGTCCCAATAGGTGATGGACAATGGGGGCTGGGTCTCCAACCACCTCTTAGCATTCCCCGCCAGAGAATGGGGGAAGAGATGAAGGCGGATTGCATCATCAGGGACACCATTCAGCTTGAACCCGTTCGTCAGTTGCAGAAAACGGGAAAGATGCACCCTGGCCTCCTCATCCTTCAAGCCATGGAACTGGATAGAGGATATAATGAGCTGAATCCAGCATGGCTTGATCTCGAAGTTGTTTGCTGGGATAGGCGGGTAGAGGATGACCGGGCGGATGTCAGCAATCCGCGGAGTGTAGTAGTACTCCAAGGTGGGACCCGGCGGCGGTGGATGATGAACCCCATGATCCTGGGGTATGGGGTTGTTCCCCAGGACCTGATTCACCGTGGGAGCCTGCTGAGGATTCCCCTGGTGTCGATTGTAGTCTCCGTCCATCCTGTACTCTTCCTCAGAATCGCTGCTCAGGTGGCCGTCTATGCGCTCTTCCGTAGCCAGTCTAGCTCGCCGTTGTCTCCTGAGTTGGCGACAGGTGCGTTCAATCTCTGGATTCAACGGCAGTAAACCACCCGACTGGCTACAGATCATGCACTACCTGCACACATTCAAGCAAACCCGTGAAGGCACAAGTGGGACAAAGCAAACAAAGCAAAAAGAAAAGCTAAATTAACAGAAATCACTTTTCTTCAACAACCTAGCCGTCCCCGGCAACGGTGCCAAAAACTTGACTCACTTCTACTGTCACCCCAGGAATTGGTCAAGTGAAACCACTTCCTAAAGCGTAGTATAGCGGGTTAGGTTTATATGTCAACCCGGGTCCTAGATTTGATGACTACTCAGTGAGTTCTTGTTATCTAGCAATGAAACTGGAATGCAAGTCTAAACTAACAAACTAACAAAGCAAGTAAACTGTTGTATTCAGGTTAAGAGAGGTCACCCGGATATGGTTCCCCCTAGACTGCAGTTAAGCCGGATTGTAATTACCAAGTTCAGTTTCTATGATAGTTATACTGCGGAAGGTTCTTAAACAGCCTGAAGTCTCGACTAAAGGTCTTCAGACCCTCTCAATCTGAGTCTCTAGCGGGCGACTAACCTCCACCGGAGTAAACAGATTGAGGCCCTATGAATAAAACCTCCACTACCAAAGTGAATCCGGTACAGAATAGTGAGTTGGCTTCTCGACTAAAGTCACCAACTCCCTACCTTCAATCAAGGATGCTCTATCAACCTAGGCAGATATTCTCATTCTAGGTTAAAGCAGAAACAACAGGAATTTGATCAGGATTCAAGTCATTCAATCATTCAAACCTCAATCGAATATAATCAAATCATAGAATCAGTACTTGGGTTCATACAATCAAAGCCTAACATACAAATCTAGGGTTCTCCATACCCAGATGAATGGGAGAACTACTCCATAGAGAAAGAAGCAAAAGCAGAATCAGACGCGGAATTCATACTGTGAATGATAGATTCCTGCTCCTGGGCGTTGATCGGCACTTCTCCAAGCTCAAATTTGCCTCCAATGGTGTTGAAAATCAAGCTAGGGCACTTGGAGACTCTTGTTCGTCGCTTTCTCTCTCTAGGAATCACTCTGTCTCTCTAAAACTCGAATCCCCTTCTGTTTGGCTGAAATCTGCTTAAAAGGGCATCAGTGGCCAAAGCACGGTCGAGGGCACGGCCGTGTAATGCCTCAACCCGCCCGTGCTTTGGCTAGTGTTAATTACACTAGGAGAAACACGGTCGTGCTTTTGGGAGGACACGGTCGTGCTTTGGTGAAGCACGCCCGTGTTCTATCTCAGCCCTGCCCGTGTTTTGGCCAATGTTTGCCAAACTCGAATTAGCTCTCGGCAGTAAAAGCACGGTCTCAGAACACGGCCGTGTTCTGGTTTAGGTGTGCCCGTGTTTTGGCTCAGCTTCACCGAAATGACTTCCGAATGCCCCGAAACTCGTGCTTAGCCTTCCCTTTTACACCTGGGACCTGAAACATGACAAAATAGCACAACCCGGCATAAAATAGGCCAAAAACACACGACTATGCCCCTCAAACGGATAAGAACTAGGGGCGCAAATATGTGCAATTACATCGTTATCATTATGTAATTTCTAATACATTGTATAAAGCTTATGGAGGGGTCTCTTATGCGGTGGCGGATACAAAATTTTTTTATAGCGGTGTCCTATTCTAAAATCTAAATTTAATTAAAATTTTAATTAAAAAATTCATAAATAAAATAATATCCGACTAGATCAAATATACTATATTAGATAATAATTCACGAACTGATCGCATATTCGATTCTAACCTTGTTCCTGATGTAACTCAAATTTGAAAGACTCTTTCAACTCTTGCAGTATACCTATAAAATGAATTCAAATTAAGGATAGCTCGAATGAGTTTAATTGTTAGGTTTTGAAAATAATTGGGAATAAAGAATAGTGTTTTTACTATCGAGGATAGGATAATCATTTTTTCAAAATTTAAGGGTGTACCGGATTACAAATTATAATTTTTTTTATCAACACGAAACTACTACCCGGATTGGATAATTGTTTTTCCAAATTTTAGGGGTGTCCCGGGACACCCCTAAAGCTCCATGTATCCGCCACTGCTCTTATGTATTACTTAGACAGAACCTACTAACGATTCAGTAAAATATGTTTGATTGAAAAGTCATTTATTATTAATTAAACTGTTTATCATAACATCAATTCGCAAGACGTACAAATGTTCTGTAAGGTAAGTTATTGTTTTACATAACAATTAAGTCATAAGACATTATAAAACTTATGAGGGATAATTATTTTTTATATATCATTCAAACAAACATATTGTGTACGTCTTTCGTAAGGATTAAGACATGTAATTAGTTTTTTGCCGCTGCAAAGCGCGGGCCAAGAAACTAGTACTAACTAATGAGAACTATCGAGTTTAAAAAAAAAAAAACTAATGAGAACTATCATTGGTTCCGAAATTAAACTCCGCAGCTAACTATGACCACTTTGTTGACCGCTATTAGAAACCAAACATGAGTTCTTATTTGGGAATAAACGCACAGACAAAATAGCCAAGTCCCCAATCTAAGTCGTTTTCTTTTGGTATCAGTATAAAGTAACGGTCCATTCGGCAAAGTTGCCACAGGTGGCCGGTGGTAGCTGAAATTCCATTTTTTGAAACTCAAGCTAGACACCTTTCACATTCTTTCGCTGTAGACATTATGATGCTTGTTTCTGCAGATTTCTTGATCTCTATTACTAAAATGACAAAGAAGACAAACCCTGTAAGACAATATATATAGCAAAGCTCCACTCACCCTCTTCCATCACAGCGCAAATAAAGCATTTGCATACTCCTATTAACTCCACCTCTACACCAAGATATACCCTTATCCCCAACAACAAACGATGAAGAACAGCCTGATGATCATCTTCCCAAACATCCTCATTGTTGCTATCTCCGCTTCCCTTTTCATGTATCTCGCAGACAGTAGAAGCCCCGCATCAATCACTTGCAGCACTGTCGAACTTAATGCGATGCCATGCCTTCCATACGCCGAAGGCGACAAGCCCACAATCGACCCCAAGTGCTGCACCGGTCTCCAAAATCTCGTAGCAACTGCAACCTCCAAAGACGACAAGGTTACAGCATGTCATTGCTTGGAAGATGCTTTCCAGAAGTTTCCTGCTATCCAGGACAAGTATATGAAAGCGATTCCAAACCTATGCAACGTTACGGTTCCTTTCCCTCTCTCAAAGGAGATGAAATGTGACAAGTAAGTAGACTCACTACCTAACACCAACTCTGTAAATTTTCAATAATGCTTGAAAAATATTTAGCAAATTCTATTCACGAATATTGATCTAACATTACTTTATTCTCATGTTTTTACCACAGCATCACACAAATCACCACCACCTATTAGAGCCACATCCCAAAGTTGAATGTATTTCGAGAAAAAAATCGATCAACATCTACATGGTTACTAAGCCGTAAAATTAGTTCAAAGTACTTGTATATGTTCAATGATACTCTATATTGTATACATAAAATGTAAGAAAGAAGTAGCTTATTTCCCTACAATCTACATATTTAGTTATAATATTCTTTTCTCCATTTTATCCATTTATAGTCGATCCCTTATCTGGGTTGCGTATGTTAAAGATAACTATATATGTATACCATTTCTAAGAAAATTGTACTAAATGTGTCACTATACATGTCTCAAATAATTTAGTTTTCTATGCTTCTTTGCTATTAGGGAACTTTTCAAAATTCGAGTATGTCATGTTCATCTCCAATTTAGACAAAGAAAACGTACTTAATTATGAAACAAACCTAAGATCAGGTTTTTGGATTTAATGGAGGGTTTTGAAAAACCCACTATCTTTTATAGAAATTTAACACTAAAACCCAAATGACTTGCTACCTTAAAAAAAGAAAGAAATGACCATAAAACACAGCACAAAACCGAAAATCATTTGCAAGACCGGCAAAAATACGATATAACAAGCTTCAACGTGATTGATAAGTGAAGGATAGAAAAAGCAATAGATCATTAGGCCAATAAAAACGTACTTATCGCTAACTACAAAAAAATAAACTTGCTCGACCAAATAATTGTTAACATTGAGTTCAACTCGAACCAACTCGCTTGATTTAAGCGTGTAAAACTCATTGTCGATCCAAATTCATAAACCGTGGTCGAACTCGCTTTAATCGGGTCGAATTAGGCCAAATACCCATTGGTTTAGGTATTAATTAAAACCCTAATTCACAAAATTCGTACAACCTGGTCGAACTCGCTTTAACCTGGTCGAATTAGGTCGAATACCCATTGGTTTGGGTATTAATTAAAACCATAATGCATAAAATTTGTAAAACCTGGCCGAACTCGCTTGAATCAGGTAGAATTGAGTGGAATACCCATTGCTTTGGTTAATTATAGATATATAATATTAATCTGGTCGAATACCTAATGATTTGGGCCTTTAAGCGTGGTAAGATGAAAGTACCTTGTGTTGCAGTCAGCATCGAATACCGAAGCACATGGAGAATTCTGCATCCACAACAAATGTTCTTGCCAGAGGTCTTTCAATTCCGTACACAGCCTGTGCTCCTCTTGATGATCAGCAGCTGAAGTGCCAATTTCGTTCCTTGTCTCCATTCGACGTAGCTGAGATGCCACTTTTCATTTCTTGTGATGGATATGAACGAAAACTTCTTTGTTCCGATAGTTATTGTGGTAGCTACCTTCTCAAACTCAACGACTCATCGAGAACTTGGGGGGAAGTCTTCATGCCCTAACCAAGCAGCAAGGGTCGGTGGTCCGACCTAGGGATGGCAATTTACCCACCCATGGGTATTTTTGCCCAAACCCAATTATACCCATTCATATGGGTATGGGTATGGATTTATTCTATATGGATTTGGATAGTGTTTGGGTAGGTGGAGTTGGGTTTGGATTTTATTTTTGGGTATGGGTTGGGCTTGGATACCCATCTCCTTGGACCCACCTGTATATATTTTTTTATTAGGTGTTAAAATGTAAAGCAAAATTTTTAATGTACTAAAATATAATTTTCCACATATGATGTTGAACCTATTTGTATCTTCTTAAAAACTTCAGGTACTAAAATGTAATTGGCCGGCCACATCACCTCGCTGTACGCCAGCTGCTGCAACCCGCCATCCCCAGCCGAATCTCCTCCGCCGGCGCCAGAAATCGCAGGCGAAGCCCCCTGCTTCTCCACCCCCACCTATTCCGCCGCCGGATCCGGAGCTCCTCCCTTCGGATGATGAACAACGTCCCAGCAGCCACCAAACCCCCAGCCACAATGCCGCCGACGATCTGCCCCTGCGGACCCGCGAGCGAAATCGAGAACACGTTCGGATTCGGCGCCGCCGCCGCGCTCTGTTGGGGGAAGAAAGTTGCCGAGATGGGGCGTTGAAGAGGTGGGCGCGGGAGGGACTCGCGGACGTAGCGGGAGGCGAATGTGGAGTGGACGGAGACATCGGATTGGGAGGAGATCTTGGAGAGCACCATTGTTACTGGTTGGACTGTGGATTGCAGACTTTTGATTTTGGTTTGGTCATCACCATTATCGCCGCCGGTGGAGGGAAACGGTATCGCCGCCGGTGGAGGGTTGAGGGAAACGGTATCGCCGCCGGTGGTGGGTTGAGGGAAACGGTATCGCCGCCGGTGGAGGGTTGAGGGAAACGGCAATGTTGCCGAGTGAGTGAGAATTGAGGCAGAGGGTTTTTTGTCGAGTGAGTGAGGCTGTGAGGGTGAGGCAGAGGGTTTTTTTATTTTTCATTTTTTATTATTTGGGTAATTGGGTTTGGATTTGGGTTGAGGGAATACATGGGTAAAACCCAACTGGGCCCAACATTATGGGCATGGGTGTTGACCCATTAGCCTTTACCCATTTAAAGTTGACTTGGATTTTAAACCTGACCCACATGGGTTGGATATTTAAAACCCAATGGGTATGGGTAATTCTGCCATGCCTAGTCCGACCCAATACGCTCCAAATGCTTCACTTAAGAATGGGAGAAGTTATGGAGCCAGTGGTAATTGCAAAGCGCTCGATCCAGCCTTTGATACAGAGTGCCACGTTGCCACATGAATTGGGGGCCCGAGAACTTAATTTGCAATACTCGAGCACTATCAACACCGTCCGGGAATGGCCGAGACATGGCTTCGTTATAAATTGCTCCACCCACCTTGTCTGCTGGTCCAAGGATTGCGTTGAAGTCTCATATTAAGCACCATGGGTGGGTCACAGAATCGGCCAACCTGAGAATTTCTTGCCATAGGTCTCATCTATCAGCTGCGTTTGGGCTTCCATAGACAGTAGATATTAAGACCTCCGTTCGAGGATTAGATCATCGAGCACACCCCATATGGATCATTTGGCTCCACTCGCACAAAGATGTGACGAGGAGATCTTGCTTCCTCTGAAATACCCATATGCCACCCGAGAAACCAATGTCATCTACCGCCAGTACCCCATCGAAGCCAGTTAGGGATATGACTCGTCGAGCTGTGTCGCCACTGATCCGAGGTTCCACGATGACAATCATATCCGGTTTGTGTGTCCCTGCAAAAGTAGACAAGTACGCCGTAAACAAATCACCACCTATTAGAGATACTATGTATCAGAATGTAATAAGTATAAACTTATGTAGGTAGAATGTAATTAGGTTGGCGTTCAAAGAAGCAACAAACCATTTCCATATCTTCAGCCGAGGCAGAGCACAGGGCTTTGGCTGATACATCTCAAGAACTTCAATGGATGACAACTTTGTTCAGTCAGCTCCCTATGCAACCTCAGCAACCATACACCATTTACTGCGATAGCCTTTCTGCTGTCAAAATGACACAGAATCCAGTGCAGCACGAACGGACAAAACATATAGAAGTTGACTGCCACTTCACCAGAGATCAGGTCCTTTCCAACAAGTTGAAAGTACAGCACATTTCTACAACCTTGCCGCTTGCAGATCCATTTACTAAAGCTCTTCCAGTCCACACCTTTGTTGACCTTATCTCCAAGCTGAACCTGAAATCGATTCACGTTTAGCTTGAGGGGGGTATTTGAGATACTATGTATCAGAATGTAATAAGTATAAACTTATGTAGGTAGAATGTAATTAGGTTAGGTACTATAATGTAATTTAGATAGGTTAGTTAGAGACTCGTAACTACTTTACTCTTCTCTAGTAGACAGAGTATAAAACCAGTGACTTAAGCTGGAGAATGTAAGTTTCGTTTTCTCATTCTCAAGCAATAAAGAAGAATTCATCAGAAATCTGACATGGTATCATAGCTCTCCTGAGCCGTTTTCCGTCTCTCTTTCTCGCTTTCGCCTCTCTTCTCCTTTTTCTTCTGCTTTTCGTGGTTCATCGTCCTCCTATGGCTATTCACGATTCTTTCTCTTCCGGCGACGAAGCCGTGGCTACAAATCCTCACACTGGAGGTCGCCCGAGCAATTCCGGCGTGATTCTTTACAAAGGAGTCCCAATTTTAGATCCAGCTTCTCCATTCTTCATCCATCCATCGGAGAATTGGGGTCAATGCCTCGTTTCTCAGCCGCTCAACGAGAACAACTTCTCCAGCTGGGAAAGATCGATGGTTTTGATTATTGATGGCAAGAACAAGTTAGGGTTCCTGAATGGCAAAATCCCGCAGCCAGCTGACGATTCTCCTTTGCTCGAGCCTTGGAATCGCAACAACAAATTGCTCCTCAGCTGGATTCAGCGTTCTGTTAATCCAACTATCGCTGAAAGCATCTTGTACGTTACCACCACCATTGGTGCTTGGATTGAGCTGCGTGAGCAATTCTCTCAAGGAGATTCTTTCTGCATCGCTGACCTTCAAGAAGCGATCTTCAACCTCAAACAAGGTATAATGAGCGTCTCTCAGTATTATTCTAAACAGAGAGCACTATGGGATCAGTTAGCCAATTATAGGTTCATTCCTGATTGTGATTGCGACATTACTTGTCATTGCGTTTTGGCCTCTTTGCGAAAGGACTACATGAATGACAAGGTGATTCGTTTCTTGCGCAATCTGAATGACAGTTTCAATGGTCCTAGATCTACCGTTATGCTCTTGGAGCCTTTGCCACCCATCAACAAAGTATTTGCCATAATGGTGCAACATGAGAGGGAGAATGGTCTGTTTCCGAAACCCCAGTCTGCTCCTAACCCAGCTTCGGACAGTATGGCCTTCTTTACTAAGGCATCAGGGTCACACCTGGGAGTTCAGGGTACTGGTCAAGGTTTCAAGAAACAGGCAAAGAAACCCGTTTGCACATACTGTGGTTACACTGGCCATACAGAGGATGTGTGTTACAAAAAGAATGGCTACCCGCCTGGATATCAGTCTAAGAAGAGGCAGCAGTAGAATCCCAGGCAGGCAAACAGTGTTTCAACTGATGTTGTCTCATCCTCCTGTTATGATCAATCAATCAGATTGGCAGAGTTTTCAGCAGCAGTATCAGAAAATGTTGAGCTTTATGAATCCACCAGTTCAGCAGATCAATCAAGCTCCTTCTCAGAATCAGTTTCCTCCTCAGCAGAATCAGTTTTCTGCTCAGCAGCACTACCTTCCAGCTCCAGCTGCTTTTTCTAATGCCTACAAGGTCAACAATCCTTCTCACTACTCAGTTTCAAACGAAAGTGAAAGTTCTGGTCAGCATAACATTGTCAGCAGAGCTAACTCTGTTGCTTCTCATGCTTTTGAAGTCCCTGACAACACAGGTACACTTCACTATGCCTTTACTGTTAATTGCTCTATTCAGAACAAATGGATCCTGGATACAGGAGCAACAGATCACATCATTTGTTCTCCTGTTCATTTTTTGCAATCTAAACCAGTTTCTAATGTTTATGTCCACATGCCTAATGGTAGTAAAGTGGCTGTAACTGCTATAGGTGTAGTTCAATACTCAGAACACCTCACTCTGACTGATGTTTTGTTAGTTCCCTCCTTTAGCTTCAATCTGGTGTCTGTAAGTAAACTGGTCAGAAGCACAACCATATGCTTATGGTTTCACTATTCCTTGTGCTTCATACAGGCTTACCCCAGTTTGAAAATGATTGGAACAGCTAGTCTGATTGATGGTCTTTACCTACTCCATCATCCTTCTCAGACCAAACAACTTCAACACAATCTTCAGCTCAACACCAATCCTTCCAGATCTCCTGCTTATTCTTCCAGAATTGCATATTCTTCCACCAAACCTAGTATAGATATCTGGCATTATCGCCTTGGTCATGTACCTGATTGTAAACTCTCACATTTTAAAACCATTGATAGTTCTATCTCTTCACTATCTGGTTTCCATTGTACTGTCTGCCCTATGGCAAAGCAGAAACGACTTCCTTTTGCTGTTAGCAAAAGTAAATCCTCAGCTCCTTTTGATCTCATCCATGTTGACATCTGGGTAAATGCTCCAGTACCTTCTTTTCAAGGCCATGCCTATTTTCTTACAATTGTAGATGACTTTACTCGTCACACATGGCTATTCACCATGAAACATAAATCAGAAGCTCGACCAACTCTCATCAATTTCTTTGCTTTCATTGAAACACAGTTCAAGGCTAGAATTAAAACAATTCGAACAGACAATGGGCTTGAATTTCATATTCCAGATTTCTATTCTTCAAAAGGAATAATTCATCAAACTACCTGTGTCTATACATCTCAACAGAATGGTATAGTCGAAAGGAAGCACCAGCATATCTTAGCTGTCACTCGTGCCTTACTTTTTCAAGCATTCTTACCTGCTCAATTCTGGAATTATGCTGCAATGCATGTAGTACATATCATAAACAGAACACCTTCTATCCTTCTTCAGAACTCCACTCCATATGAAAAATTATATGGTGTGCCATCAACCTTAACTCATCTTAGGGTGTTTGGCTGTCTTGTTTATGCAGCCACCATTCAAGCAACTCGTAATAAACTTGACCCAAGGGCTCAACCTTGCATTTGCCTCGGTCATCCATATGGAACTTAGGGTTTTAGACTATATAGTTTACAAACTCACAATGTTCTGATATCCAGAGATGTTTCCTTTTATGAAACCATTTTTCCCTTTCAAAATCCAACTCAAGTCACAAATACTACTCTTCCATTACCTGTTTTTTCATTATACCAAACACAGGATGCTTTTGCTACGATTTGGGATGGGTTTGATCGATAATTTTGGCTGCAGGTCAAAACAAGCTTTGAGGGTAAAGCTTTTTGAAGAGGCGAAGCCTGATACAATTCTGGAATCAATCAAATTTCATCCAGGATTGATCGTCAAAGAAGTCATCTCAACTCACATGAAGAATTCTGGTTTTTGGCCAAGTGTTAGAATAGTTTCAGGTAGCCTACTTTGGACGCTTGGTTCTCACAATTGGCTCACTGAAAATTTGAGATTAAGAGCTTGTATTGAATATAAAGTTTCCCTCTACAAAATGGCATTGTTTTTGGATCTAGAAGAAGTCATAAATTAGTTTTCCAAAGTCTTCAAGTTGCTATCTCAAAATAGGAAAATTGCCAGAATCTCTTTTAAGTATAAATTTGTGATCGTGAAACCTACTTTGGAAAACCCACCATCTTTTATAGAAACTATCAAAACAAGGATCGAGCTTCACATGTGAGTAGTGGGTTTTGTTGACAACAATGGCTTGTTTCACGTACTCGCCACTCTTACCCGCTATCTTCTAGAAAATGCCACCAAGCTATGTATTTTCTCCATCCGACATTCAAATTCGCTCTAG